GCGTCTCTACTGCGAGGATCCTGCATCATACCTATCAGTTATTATCTCAGGTGTGCCACGGGAACATAAAATTCTTATATTTGACCTAACATGAAGTTTTTTCTTTTGAATGTATGGATAATAGACATACATGGCAGAGATTGAAATGCTTGAAAAAAATACTAGGTATCAATAGAAACAAAATAATCCGTGTTCAAATTATAAAAAAGTTTACATGTAACCCCATCATTCAGGCCAAACTGCATGTGAAGTGGCTTTATAAGCTTGATGAAAATTCGATGACTGACTTTAACTTGAATTATGAGATACTTTCATTTCCAGCGTTACTACGAACCTTTGAAGGCTGTTCAGCTCGAACACAGCAAAAGTTTACCTTTGTTTCGAGGCAACTTTCGAGAAATTCCTTGAAAGTCTTTGTGGTTTTCTCGTTTTCTTGTTATTCGGAAAATACATTTACATCTTCTTCGCTTACCACAAAAAACCTTTCGGTCATTAAATATTCCAAAAAACAGACAAACCAAGTTCATTCAACAACTTTTTGTTTCTCAATAGCACGCCACTCGTGTTCTATATGATGAAAAATCATGACCACCCGGTTCCCGAACATGGCAGCCGTATTTATTCTACGAGTGTTTTAGTTCTCGGTAAAACGCTCACGTCTATATAATGATTGAAGATCTAACACTTGTGTTTCGCTGGAAAGACTTGACACTTCCAATGAAGCTCCGAATTGATCGTCACATTACAAATTCACAATACTGCAAGCAATCTCAGTTTGTTAATTCGCGAATTCGCGAAAAGGTCTGTTTTGATAAAATCGAGTCTATTCACAGGGAAACTTCCTTTACTCTACATATTAGGAATATTTTTAGAAATGCTACAACAATGCGTGTATTTTAACTCACCTTTCCGTGGAGAAACCTTCGCAGGTTGTAGTAGCGGGATCCTACAGAACTTTTATGGAAGCTGTCGTGGGTGAAATGGCTGGCTTCGTTCAATTCGCAGTATTTGACGTCGTTATTCTCCTTGTAGTTGAACGACAAACATCGACAGTCATCTTTACACAACATGTAGCACTGAACTGGGTTTGAAATCACTGAACTGTGGAAAACATGACCAACGAGCTCTTTGTCTTGCAATGCATCGCCATAAGTATCAAAGGGATATGTTTGACAAAATCCTGTGTCACAGTTGCTAATTGCTTCCGTAAATGTCCAAAATATCTGAAGATTAGTAATAAAATGAATAAAAAACATGGTTACAAACCTTCTAGATTGTGTTCAGAAATGACTTTACAATTTGGTACGTGCGACAGGTGTCGACTGAAAATAGGCGAATTTGATCTATCGGCTGTGCGATTATAAACTGTATGGAAACTATTTTTGGGCTTTTATTTGTATTGAAACTTTTAACTGTCAACTCACTAAGATAGGAACGTATCAGGGCATCTATATAGCAAAACGAGTTCAATCATTCATTTCCACTGGATACCTTGGGTAGCTTCTCTTGATCAACCTGCTCGAGGTATCAAATCAAGGAAATTCTTTTTCTCCGCCTTTCTCTCCATCTATATCTCTCACACACACACACACAAGGTTTTTTTCTTGGAGAGGAAGAGATATTCACCCATTGACCACAAATTAAATGTTGACTGTGCACCAG